TAACACAGGAGATCAGGAGAGACCCAACCTCCCACCGCTAACACACACACATGCACACACACACACACACACCATAACACAGGAGATCAGGAGAGACCCAACCTCCCACCACTAACACACACATACACACACACACACACACACACACACACACACACACACACACGCGCGCGCGCGCGCGCACACAACAGAACCCTAGAATCATACAGAAACAAGAATAGGAACCACACATCCAAAATTACATTTCTGTGTACGAGGCAAGACAGTGGTCTTCTCTGAGCTCATTGTCATCATTATAAAGGATGTTCAGATTAAGGTTAATTTTTTATCTCAAACCTTGATCCCACCCTTGTCAGTATTCTACTAATCCACTCGGCTCTTACAGAGAAAACCTAGCTCCTCGAGGCGCTTGGATGGAGGAAACCTGTCTGAAAATCTCCTCAGTGAACAAAGAAAAGGGAGAGAAATCATGATGGTCAAAGTGCAGGGTACTAAATACCATACCTGGTAGAACTCAGCTACCTGGATCCAGTCTGAAGGCAGGTGAACAATGGCAGAGTAATACCGCCGCACATGGGGGCGGCAGGCTGGCAAGAAGGCAGCGACAGCCAAAACTATATTGGCTACCTCCCGGATGTTAAGCTGCTGCCTGGCGTACAGAGATGCCTGGGATGGAGGATGGAAAAGGTGGTCATGTCGGTCACTCTCATAGCTCCACGCCCTAAACTATCTTGCTTATTGAATCTGTCAGTATAAAATCTTTCCTGAGCACGCCACAATACCTACAAAGTCGAGAGACCCTGTCCTTGTTTGGAAAACCCTTCATACCAACATCAATCAAAGATTCACCAATTGCAACATGGATGTGCTGTAGACGTTAGAGAGAAATAACGAGACAGTAACTAGTTATGATCTTCCTGAAGGCAGTTTCTGAAATCTTTTTTATTTTTTTATTTTTTATTTTTTTTTGCTTGAAAACAAAAATTTTATTTTGTTATAAGATACAAAGATATATATATATACACACACACACATATATATATATATAAAGATATATTTGTTATATCTTTCCACCCCAATTGTTCTCTAGACCCTGTGAAGAAAATTGTTCTCTGGATCCCATGAACAAAAGTTTCTGAAATCTTTTCAGTGACTTTCAGTCTCAGAATTATGCTAAAATATATTGAGTAAGATATTCACTAGATTATTTCTAAATAAAATAAAGTACTGTAACCAAAAAAAGCTTATCCAAATTGCTGGCTAAACCTGTCATCTTCCAAACCCCATAGAATACACTTCCCCCTAGATCAGACTGGCCCATGGGCATGTCTCAGGGAGAGTTTCTGAATTAGTAATTGGTGAAGAAGGCCCACCCACTGTGGGTAGTACTATCCTTAGGAAGGTCATCCTGGACTGTATAACAAAGCTACCAAAGAGTTGGAATTGGTACAAATACTTTTAAATTATGGTTGATCAGTATTTTTTTAATCTGAAATTTTTATTTATTTATTTATTTATTCATTCATTCATTCATTTATCGAGATGAGTTTCTCTGTGTAGCCTTAGCTGTTCTTGACTGTCCTGGAACTCACTCTGTAGACCAGGCTGGCCTCAAACTCAAAGAAATCCGCCTGCCTCTGCCTCTCGAGTGCTGAGATTAAAGGTGTGCGCCACCACAACCTGGCTCTAGTATCTGAAATTTTAAATCTTGGTGCAAGAATATAAAATAAAAGTGTCTATATGTATACACCGAAATGGCGTGTGTGTTCATGTCACATTATTTGTGATGGCCTAGAAGTACAAATAACTCACTACTAAACTATGGCTGTGAATAGATAGGCTGTGGTGTGTAGATGTATAGCAACAGGAAGCTTCAGCTGTATGCAACACTGTGAATGAATGTGATAACGTTGGCAAAATACTGTCCTCCCTCCCCATAAAAGCACAAAGTATAATTCTCTCTACATGTGGAACTGAGGATTGGTGTTTGAAGTCAGTATCCTAATTGTCCCCACCCTTCCCCTCAAGCAAGGAGATCTAACTGAGGACACTTTCTCCTCACTGGGCACCTTGGCTAAGGGTGTTTTTACTGCAGGAGGGAGTGACAGGGGCTGGGTCTGAAGTAGGTTCTGGGAGAGGCTGTGGCTGTTCTGTTACTGGAGCCAGTTAGCCAGGTTAACGAACTGTGTAAGCCTGGCATGAGCCTGTGCAAGCTCGGCATGGGCCTGTGCAAGCTCGGCATGGGCCTGTGCAAGCTCGGCATGGGCCTGTGCAAGCTCAGCATGGGCCTGTGCAAGCTCTGCATGGGCCAGTGCAAATTCAACATGAGCCTGTGTAAGCTAGGCATGAGCCTGTGTAAGCTAGGCATGAGCCTGTGTACACTAGGCATGGGCCAGTGTAAATTCGACATGAGCCTGTGTAAGCTAGGCATGAGCCTGTGTAAGCTCGGCATGACCCTGTGTAAGCTAGGCATGACCCTGTGTAAACTCGGCATGAGCCTGTGTAAACTCGGCATGAGCCTGTGTAAGCTAGGCATGACCCTGTGTACACTAGGCATGAGCCTGTGTAAACTCGGCATGAGTCTGTGTAAGCTAGGCATGACCCTGTGTACACTAGGCATGTGCCTGTGTAAGCTAGGCATGACCCTGTGTATACTAGGCATGAGCCTGTGTAAACTCGGCATGAGCCTGTGTAAGCTATCAAGCAGAGTTCTTCCATGGTTCCTCATGTTCCTGTCCTAGCTTCCCTCAATGATGGGCTGTGACTTGGAAGTGTAAGCCAAAAAGTCCCCTTTCCTTCCCTCAGTTGCTTTTGGAGTGAGTTATCACAGCAACAGAATGAAATTAGAACATGGCCTCTACTCTGAGTCAGACGCAGACATGATCTACTCCACATGTGATATTCGGAGAAGTGCTTTACTTTCTGGGAGCCAGATCCAAGTCCCATCATGCTAATAGACTCCCACACCTAACACTGTGCACTTAGCTTGTACAAGCCCAATCCTAGTAAACCTCTCCCCATGGCACCTTTCTCCACTCCACAGAGCCCCAGGAATTAGGCCCCAGACTCCGCCCCCACCAGGAGCCAGTCACCAGTTCTTCATATGATAACCACATTAATGTCACCCAGTTCACCTCTTCTTCCCACTCCTTCATCCCACATACCTTAAGGATGAACTCAGGTTCCAAGGGGGCCAGTTCACGGCAGACTTCAAGGATGGATGCCCGAGTAGGGTCCGATGTACTTTTCACATTTATATGTGAGGCCAGAGCAGAACACAGTAAGGTCAGGAGAGCCATCTAAGAACGGGCAGCACAGAAGGAAGGAGAATTACGGATCTACACCGACCAGCTTGGACGTCAAGGACAGGGGCTGGTTCATGACCTCCCTTTAACTCAGCTCCAAAGGCTGCAACATTTTTTAGGGAGAGGGGGCTGAGTCTCAGTGTTAGCCCTAGCTTGAACTCACTATAGAGCAGGTTGGCTTCACACTCCCAGAGATCCACCCGCCCCTGCCTCCCATGCACTCGGACTAAACGTCACGTGCCAACCACGCCAGGAGGGGTCTGACCTCCACAAGCACAAGACACACGGTGCACATTCTCAATGGACTCCAGGTCAGAAAGGTGTCTGCCCAGCTGACAGGGTCAATGGTGGATTGAGAAGTAGGGAATGAGAACAGGATCGTGTTAGGGAGAAGCCCTGGTTCTGGTCTCTTACCTCACCATTCTCTCCACTGCCAACCTCCTAAGTTTTACCTTCTTTTCCTGGAGGATCCGGTCAGTGGTTTCCGAATGAGATTCCGAGTCTCCAGATGTGAGTTTCGGGACCGGTACATCCAGCTCCTCTTCCTCTCCCAAGCTTAGGCAGTACAACGGCATTTGGACTTGTGTGCTCTCTTTCTCTCCCTGCCCTTCCTTTCCTTCGGAGAAGCACCTCTGACCCTAGAAACAGTGGCAGTTACAAACCACACCGAGTACTACAGCCTTTCCACAGGGCAGGGCGCCCTGACCTCTCTTAGGACTGGAGAGCGAGGGGGATGGGGAGTAGGGGTAGTGGGAGGGAAATGGGAGGATGGGAGGTGGTGGAAATTTTTAATAAATAAATAAATTTAAAAAAGAGGGACCAAAAGCGTCTCCCAAAGACAGTGAAGGCCGATATCTCTAAGCCCCACTGACCACCGTTAGCCGGTCCTGTCTCAGCTTGGGCTCTCTTTTTGTTGTTTTGTTTTTCGAGACAGGGTTTCATTGTGATTTTATTATGAGCCTTGTCCTGGAACTAGCTCTTGTAGACCAGGCTGGCCTCGAACTCACAGAGATCTGCCTCCCTGCCTCCTGAGTGCTGGAGGCGTGCGCCACCACCGCCCCGAGTGTTTGCTGGACCTCCAGACCGGGGATTCGAACACAGATCCTTGAGGTGGAGTGCGCGGCGCTCAACCGCTCAGCCACGCGGGCTGTGGCTCTGCTTGGGCTCTCATACTACCTTTCTCTACTCAGGTTCCTCAGCTTTCTGCCCAGGGGCTCTGCAATCTTCCCAGCTGCCATCTCACGACTGCCAATCCGGCAGCCCAAGGCCTCTCATATACTTTCTAAATGCAGGATGGTGCTTTCTGAGTCAGAAGAAGGGCAAGTCCCATGTCAATCCTCCAGAAGCAAAGAGCTTCTCCATTCGCTACCACCTCCCTGATAGGGCCGTTGGAAAATTCAGTGGGATAATGTATGTTTGACTCTGCAAATTGCAAAACTCTAAATCACATCAGGGTAACAGCAGTTGTACTTTGAACCAGAACTTTATGAAGCACGTTTTTACTGGGATATTAGCTTTGCCTAAGGCTAACTTGATAGTTAGCAGAGATACCATATGGTTCAGGTAAGCTTTCCCCCAAGAGTCCACAGAGGAAGTGTGTTCCTGTCTGCCAATTCTGATCTATATACTAAGTGTGTTCACATGGATCTGTTGAGCAGACAAAGGAAGTAAGTTCTCAGGTAACAGATATACTGCACATCTAACCTTGGATGCACCCCGCTGACTGCTGTGATAATTATGCGGCGTGCTTCCCAATCAGAGACTTTTTGGAGACGTGGACTCTTTTTGAGATCTATCACCCAGAATCTCTGCAGTAGATACTTGGTAAGAATGAAGATACCAGTGAAGACAGCCATAAGGTACAGAGTAACTCAGGAAAGGCCATGACAGACTGGAGACATAGCTCAGTAGTAAAGCCTACCTATACGCATGCCTGCTGTTCAATTCCTAGAACTCTCCCAAAGAAACAAAAGGCTGATACCAAAAATGCTCCGAGAAAAGGTCCCCAGACACAGAAATCAGAGGAGGAAACCAAGGCATTGAAATCTAGTGATAATAACAGATAAGGCTAGAATCAAGATCAGCATCCAAAAACAATTACCAAAGCTACTTCCTGAACTCCAGTAGTAGCAGGGGTAGATCTCGGAGTACTGGAACAAGTTGGAAGGTTCAGATTCGCAGAGAAACATGGAACCTTCTTGGTAGGAGACTCAGGGAACAGACGATTGCTAGTGTTCGGGCTACACAAATCAGCCTGCATTGTGGGTGCTACATGAAGACCCTGGAGCAAGGGGCTGGTTGATGAAGTGCTCTTGACAGTGGATAGGGTTGCTAAACACTGGTTCTCCAGAGAAAGGACGTCTGGGTGGACAGACGTTTGTCCACATAGCTTCTCCAGGGGCTGGAGGTCAGGGAGCATGGTCAGGCACCGGTTCTCCAGAGAGAGGATGTCTGAATGGACAGACGTTTGTCCACATAGCTTCTCCAGGGGTTGGAGGTCAGAGAGCATGGTCAGGCACCGGTTCTCCAGAGAGAGGACGTCTGGGTGGACAGACGTTTGTCCATGTAGATTTTCCAGGGGCTGGAGGTCAGGGAGCATGGTCAGGCACTGGTTCTCCAAGGAGAGGACGTCTGGGTGGACAGGCACAAGCCTACAGAGTTTCTCCATAGCTGCTGTACAGCCAACATACACCTGGAGGGAAAGAGCAGGGATGAGCTGTATTAGAACATACCAACTCCAGATTCATGTGTGTGTGCCAATGATACGCAAAGAACAAGCAATATTTTTATTTCTTTTTAAAATTAGGTATACATGCATGTATGTATATAGTAGTAGTAGTAGTGTTTAGTATGTGTATGTGTGTGTATGTGCTGGGGAAGAGGTATGTGTATTTCTTCAGCCATGTGTGTCACAGCACACATGAAGTTAGAGGACAACCCTTGGGGGTTGGCTTTCTCCTTCAAACACTGGGATCAGGGATTAAGCTCATGTGGTCAGGACTGCACAACAGACAGTTTTAGCCCCTGAGCCACCTTGTTGGCCCTTCTTCATCCAGAGAGAAATCTAAGGGAACAGGTAGGGAAAGGTGAAGCAGAAGTTTTGAGGGAAAAGAAAGCCTGGCACGATGGAGACCTGCCTAGGAAGAGAGAGAGAGGGGGGCACGGTGGAGACC